CTAGCAAGTGAGAAAACCACCACACTAAGAATCTATAACCAAGGCATCCATCCAGAACTTAGGTCACCATCAAAGCACCTACAAGCAAAGCAAAGGTTCTTATCCAACAAATGCTACAGACACACCCTTACTAGTGTTGGGGAAGGGGAGGGAGCCGCATCTAAACAAAAGAAAATCCAAAAATAAGAAGTGAAAGCTGCCCAGATGAGAACGAATCAGTGCAAGAAATCCAGAGGTATGAAAAATCAGAGCAAAAGGACACACCAAAAGGGAACAGCAGCTCTCTAGTAATTGTTAACAACAAAAAAGAAAAGATTGAAATAACAAAGAATTTCAAATATGGATTTTAAGGAAATCCAAGAGAAAATGGAAAACCAAATCAAATAAATCAGAAAAACAATTCAGAAAATGAATGAAAAACATACTAAAGAGATCAACATATTTTAAAAAAACAAACAGAATCTCTGGAAATGAAAAACTCATTTAAGGAAATATGAACGCAGTGGAAATAGACTAGACCAGGCAGAAGAAAGACTCTCAGAGGCTGAAGTCAACTCTTTTGAATTAACTCAGTCAGAAATAAAGAACAGAGAATTAAGAGGAATGAACAAAACCTACAAGAAATACGGGATTATGTAAAATGGTCTTAAGAATCATAGGCATAGCTGAGGGTGAAAAAAACACACAAGGGCTGGAAAACCCATTTGGAGTAATAATTGAGGAAACTTCCCTAGTCTTGCTGGAGATTTAGATATCAAGATAAAAGAAGCTTAATGAATACCTGGGAGACTCATTACAAAAAGGCAATCACCAAGACACACAGGCATCAGAACACTTATACACTGTTGGTGGAACTGCAAACTAGTACAACGTCTATGGAAAGTAGCATGGAGATACCATGCTAGAACTGAAAGTAGGCCCACCATTTGATCCAGCAATCCAACTACTGGGTATTTACACAAAGGAAAAAAGACATTTTATGAAAAAGATGCTTTCACTCAAATGTTTTTAGCAGCACAATTCACAATCACAAAGATGTGGAAACAACCCAAGTGCCCATTGATACATGAGTGGATTAACAAAATGTAGTATATGTATACCATGGAGTATTACTCAGCAATAGAAGAAAAATGGTGAACTAATGCCTTTTGTAATAACCTGAATGAAACTGGACACCATCCTTTTAGGTGAAGCATCGCAAGAATGGAAAAATAAAAGCCACACGAACTCACTACTAAATTGGAATTAATAGATGAATGCTTATGTGCACATATGGTAGTAAAATTCAACAGAAATCAAGCAGGTGGGAAGTGGAGATGGGTGAATTCACACCTAACAGGTACAATGCATACTATATGGGTAATGGACACACTTATAACTTTGACTCAATCTGTACAAAAGCAATTCATGTAAACAAAACATTTGTAATCCTGCAATATTCTGAAATAAAAACAAATTAATAAATAAAAATAATAATAAAATGGAACTTGTTTAAATTAAAAGGCTTCTGCACAGCTAAGGAAATAATCAACAGAGCAAATAGACAACTTACAGAATGGGAGAAAATAATTTGCAAGCTATACATCTGATAAACGGCTAATAAACAGAATCTTCAAAGAACTCAAGCAAATCAGCAGGAAAAAAAACATTGAAAAGTGGGCAAAAGACATGAACAGAAGCTTTTCAAAAGAAGATAGACAAAAGGCCAGTAAACATATGAAAAAATGCTCAATGTCACTAATCATCAGCAAAATGCAAATTAAAACCACAATGAGATATCCCCTTATCCCAGTTCAAATGGCTTTTATTCAAAAGTCCAAAAGCAATAGCTGATGGCATAGATGCAGAGAGAAAAAAACACTTACACACTGTTGATGAGACTGAAAATTAGTACAATCTCTATGGAAAACAACAGGAAATTCCTCAAAGAACTAAAAGTAGACCTACCATTTGATCCAGCTATCCCATTACCAGATATTTACCTAAATGGGGAATAAAAAGATATTTTATAAAAAAGACACCTGCACTCAATTATTTATTGCAGCACAATTCACAATTGCAAATGGAATTGATGTGGAATCAACCCAAGTGCAGATCAATTCATGAGTGGATTAAGAAAATACATACTATGTAATACTTGAAGCCATGAAGAAGGATGAATTAAGGCCTTTTGCAACAATTTAGGTGGAGCTGGAGACTATTATCCTAACTGAGTTATCTAAAGGATGGAAAAATAAACATCACATATTCACTATTTAATGGGAACTAACTGATGAGCACACATGAGCACAGAGGGAAAACTCGGTGGAAATCAAATAGTGGGGAGGAGATAGGAGAGGATGGGCGAAAACCTTCCTAATGGATACAATGAACACTATCTGGGTGATAGGCGCACTTACAACCCAGACTCATGCATAACAAAAGTGATCCATGTAACCAAAACATTTGTACCCCCATAATATTTTGAAATATATGTATGTATGTGTGTGTATCACTATCCTTGTCTTTCACAGCTGTGTTATGTGTGTAGTTTCATGAAGTATTCTTATTAATGTGTTAAGATTGATCATTTTTATTCTTTTTCTGGCCTTGAATCTTAAACAAATAGAGACTTTTGCAGATATTAGAAGATCAGGCAGTTATTCTTTGCTCTCTCTCTCTCAGTGTTTATAGACAAAGCCTTTAATATTTGAAATCTGAAGGTCAGCAGCCACCTGCTATGAAGGATCTGAATGTCCTCACAGAAACTATTCCTTGACTATTCTCTGAATGGCCTCTGCATTCATCTCACAAAAGGTGTGCATAAGAAAGAGGCTCTTCCACATCATCACATTGGAGAGTAACATGGACAAAAAGGAACAAAGAACACACACAATGTGTGGCTTGTTTCTTTTGTGTTTGATTAAGATTTTTATGGGAAGAGAAGTTTGGGGTATTTAATAAAATGCTGATTTCATTTAAAAGATAAAATTTAAATGTTAATAAATAAAACTACATAATTTCCACTAATTTTGTTTCCATTGATATGTGCTTTATAGTCATGCCATACAAAAATCTTTTTTTCCTGGAAAAGTTTCTGTTCAGATATTTGTGGGTCCTGTGAGATCAGATTGGTAGAAGAGGGAAGATATCTCAAGCTACCATGTTCAAACTATAGTGCTTTCTAAAATTATATTTGTTTGTTTACAACCACAGTGACATTTCTGAGATCTGATTCTCAGGATTAATTACTAAATCTGTGTTTAGTATTTGCTCTCTTTTGTTACTAAGGTTATTGAGTGATCTTTATGAAACACTTAAACTTAGCATTGACTGAGGTAGTTTCCAGCATATCTTCCACAAATAGTCTTTGCTTTTTTTTCTCAAAATAATCAAAAGAAGTGTTATATTATTTGTTCTGGGAACCTTTATAAAAACATGAATAAAAGTTAACACTTTTCTGAAGGATGATTTGGAGGCAAAACCCCCGCATTTAATCTTATATGTATAGTTATTATCACAAAATGGATAATAGCTTATAGACATAAATAGCTATTATAATTAATAAGAAAAGATTAACACACCAATGGAAATAGGTAAGGAATAGGAAACAGGAATTTACATAGAGCTAAAAATAGCCAAAATTTATGGAAATTTTAATTCAAATTAAAATATTAAGGCAGCAATTCTACTGGCAAATAGTAGTAGATGCCCAATAAATATTTATTGAATCATGAATAAAGTAATATTTTTCACTCATCCAACTGGCAAAGGGTTTTAAAAATAATGTGACTCTCCAGAATTAACAGGATATCCATGCAAAAGATAATAACAGCGGGTAACTACCTATGCAAACTACAGATATTGAACATCTATATTCTATATTCTTTTTTAGCTTATAGTTTTTGGATAAAATTAAGAGGGGAGATACATTTTTAGAACAGAATATAGCCACACTCAAATAAACAAATTACACTTTTAAGAAAATAATTGATAATAGTTCATATAAATGACAAGCCAGTCTCAAGAATTGATCTATAACATAAAAATTATTTTAAACTATATCATTCAAACAGGATTTAGAATAAAAGAAATTTTATATTAAGGTATATATAAATTGGTATCAATTCAAAATATTACTCTCTCTGGTGAGACTATTTTTCCTGGCATATGCACATATGGAAGTAGAAGAGAGCAAAGAAGGAACTATCCCGCATTAGGTCACTGACCAACAGGTGGGACTTCTTCTTTTCCATCACCCTCATTCCAAAGAACGGTAAAAAAAAAAAAAAAACTATGAGGAAAAAAAGTGCTGATCTACCCTTGTCATATTATTGACACTTCTTAATGTTTGGGGTTCTCCCCCAAAATTAATTATTTTCTTCCTCTACACTTTATCTCTGATGCCCAGAAACCATTGACTTCCTGGAATTTTTATTAAGAATTCCACATTCTTGCCATGTTTTTCAGATACTGTGGCTTCTGCCAATAAATTCTAATAAATTTTCACTTCTTTTCTTTCAATAACATCCTAGAGAATATGATTCAGACTCAAATTAATCACCCATCCTGTTAATGGCTCCTAGGAGTTTACTTCCGATACCCCTTATTATATTAAATCAAACTTGATAGTGTGCTAGATCATTGCTCAGCTGGGTTTTCATAAAAGCACTGGTATTTAATATGATTTATGCCTGGCTTTCTGTTAATATCTTTGCTTATTGTGTGCTTTATTTTTAAAACAGACATTCTTAGCAATTGGCACTCCTTTAAAATCTATCATATTTTTAAAATATTTTACAGGAAGCATTTTATAGTAAAATGTGTCCCTTATTTTATATTATAGTCACATAATAGTGAACAGAAACAATTTATTTAATTTGCAATCAAAATATTAATATTTTACTTGTAGTTTGGAAAAAGTGTGTGTGTGTGTGTGTGTGTGTGTATGTTTTACTTATTTAAAAGATAAATTATATGACAAGATTATTAGGAAATTAAAAGTATTGTATTTTTTAAAGCTTTGCAGCAAAGGGGCAGCTTTGGGAAAACCCTTTGAAGCATCTGCTGAAGATATAGCAAGCGTGGCAAGTTTCATTGAGACAAAGCTTGTTACCTGCTATCTACGGATGAGAAAACCTGACCTTGCCCTGAATCATGCACACAGGTAAAATGAAATTCTAATAACCACAACTAAGTGCTACTCATGCTAGCAGAGGATACTATCTGAGCTTGTCTGATCACCTTCCATTTCATTTCAATTTAAGAAAGAAGCAAAAAAAAATATTTATTTACTACTTGATTTATGTAGAGTAAAATAATCATGGAGACCACAAAGGGAATCAAAACCTAATGGAAGAAATAGACACATAAGGAACTATTAATAATTCAGGGCAAAATAAAAAGGCAGTCAACTATAGCAGAAAATTGCTTCAGGAAGAAAAGAGGGAGAGAATAAGGTAAGTAAGGAAGGTCGTATTGAAGGGTAAGAAGGATTTCCAAAATGGCAGAAGAGATGGGACATGGTGAAAAGGAATTCTGACTGTGAAGATGACCCAAGACTTGAAAGCGTGTAGCTTATTTGGTGATGGCATGGCTGATTCAAAGGATGTTAGCTTCCTTTGGAAAGCTTTCTGAAGGTGTGATATACTTTTTGCCTATGTCCTTAAAATTTTCCTTTTTATATTTCTATTCTTCTTTAGAAGTCTGTAGCATTATATTACCATATGACTTCCTAGAATCCCCATTGTTACCCAGGCCTATCTTTCCTTCTATAAAAATGTACCTCTCCTGTGTTTCATTTTCTAAAGGTCTTGCTCCCATGGATAACAATCAGTTTTAATCTGCAGCAAAGATAAAGTGATTATGTTATGCCTTTCAAATAACTCTTTCCTTGAAATTGTGATGACTTTATCCCTCCCTGCCTGACTTAGAGCAATTTACCTAGAACTTCTGGATTATTCATTTTCTGGTCTCACATCCTGTATTTCTTTTAGATATAAATGGTAACACTAATATCAACATGAAAGCATAATTCCTCTTTATTAATAACCACCAGGAAACGTTATATTAAGACCCAAATGTAAGTGAGAGATTTGTCAATATGGTAAAGGTTGTTTACAAACCCACATCCACTAGGATGTAAAAGTTCTTTCTACCCAAGATTTTTCACAGCCCCAATAGTGGGCTTAAGCTTGACCTCAAGGACCTACAGACAACTAAATCACTTTGAAATTCACAAGATGACATGCTTGAAAGAAATTCTCCTGCTTAAGTAAACTACAGAAACTAAAAAGAGATTCCCTTTGACACACACACACACACACAAATTCTACTGTCTATATTATCTGGAAACATTTATGCAACCATAGGTTCCAAACCCAATATCAAGATATATGGTCTGTCAAAGAATTTTATTCCATTTCCATCCAAAAGAAATAATATTGGAAAGGCAATGTGTATTTCAGTATGTCAAAATATTGGAATTTCTGAGTTACTAGGGTGACTTGTGAGCACAATGGGAAAAATATTTGAAATTGAGGCTAGCTGAGAAAATGTATAGACATATGTAAACAACAAATTGAGATGTACTGACAGTAATTATATACTACCTTCTCCATGACTTTCACTACACTTAAAGAGGGCCACCATCATGGCCTACATTTCAAAGAAATATTTCCTGGATATTATTAATACAATGGTTTGATGGGCTTTTGAATCATATTCAATAATAAAAGTGTTCCAAATAGTATGGATATGTCAAAATTCAATTCAGTGTTATCAAAAATAAGTAATGGGAATAAAGTATCAAAAATTTCATAAAAATCCAAGTATGAGAATAAGATGCTAGAATTCCTAAGGATGCAAGAATCAGGTTCAATAGGATCACTATCTAGAATTAGGAAACTTGTGTTTTAAAATCAAGGGTGTTCTTTCAAGCAAGACCTTGAAAATTACTGAGGGAAATAGATATAATGATGAATAGTAAATGATCTTCCCTATTGTGTTAGAATTAGCTTTGTACATTCTTTTTCTTCTATAAAATAATTTTTGCTTCTGTTTCTAAGTTGAACATTAAGTAGGAAATGCAAATCAATAGAGGTTAAACAGTCAATTCATACAATTAATAATGCACCAAGTGAAATAAATCATTTTGTTGCTCTTGTCATAGCACAGAACTGCAAAAGTCGGTGGATATGATTTTAATATTAAGACATTTTTAAAGATCCTAGATTTGAAAACAGAATCTGAAATATAATCAATAAGTATATTTTGAAAAAATGAATTAATTAATCAGGATATTTAGTCTATAAATAGCCCACAACCATTAGTTACACACTGAATGCAGAATTCTGCTTTTGTATTATTATCACAATGTGAAAGTTTATACTAATCACAGATCAAAATTAAAATATTCCTTTTTTGCATTTATTTGCATTTGCTGAAGCATCTTTAATTTTATGTAAATGTGAAGTCTACTGCATATGTTTAGACTTGTTAACACGAAAATCAGCTTTAAAATCATCATGCAGTTTTGCTCCTGATAAAAATAAATGCATATTGTTTGTCATACAGAAGACTATAAGAACTATAACTTTATGGTTTAAGATCAACAAAGTTACATTTGAAATTAGTCAGCGAAGCATTGACATTTAAACAATAACAAGTGGTACAGTCTCTAAAAACAACTATGTTCAAAGTGGCTTTCCTTTTTTTTATATAACATATCCAAAGTGACAAATATGGACATCGCTTTTTACGTCAACCAAAGGTAATGCTTACACTCACCAATAAAACATTGATTCTTTGTTCACTTCATCACACTAGTGCCAGTTTATCAGTAGGTATTTTGAACACTTTTCTAAAGACTGATTTCTAATTACTGCTATCTTATAAAGAGTAGAAATCATGCTATAATTCTTTTCCTATCATATAATTATATTTTGATGTACATAACTGTAAAGATTTTAATGGTGCATACCACTTTTTAATATAGTCAGCCCTTTAGGATTTTATGCTTATTTTTCTTGCAGAATTTTGTTGCCACAGGTAACAAACAAGATGAGGTCTAAAGTACCAAATATGTGAGACAATATCCTATTTTTGAAATTGTTTTATAATGGTGGCATTTACATTTATTCTTTCATTCAACAAATATTTATTGAATGCCCACCAAGAGCCTGCTTCTGTGCTAGGCAATGAAGGGACAGTTATAAACAAGAAATATGTGATGCCAATATACCAGTAGAGGTAGCAACCAAAGTATAAAAATAAATAATTGTTAGTAAATATATGAGATAAATAGAATGTGATAAATGCTGTGAAAGAAATAAATATAATTTTATGTTGCAGAGGCAGCATAGTTTATGGAGTCAGAGCACAGAGTCTAGACACTGACTGCTTAGGTTCAAATTATGACTTCTCCACTCACTAGTTAGGCTGAATTTAATTCTTTATAAAAATTGGCTATAATAACAGTACCTATTTCACAAATGCTATCTCCTACGGTTTTGTGAAAATTGAATATAAGCCCATGGATGTTTTTATTCTAGCCATGACAGAGTTACTGATACTAGACCCGCCTTCCTGCTGTCAACAGCTGGACAAAATATATGAGTCAAGTGCCTTCAGGCATTAGAAAATAGTGACAGCAGGACCACGATCCTTGAGAGGAGGAAAATGCACATAGTGTATTCTCAAATTTTTACTGGGTTTACTTTTCTGCCCTCATTCATGGACATGGAGACCAAGTTGGACTCAGTCTCACTGAACAGAAGAGGCAGCGATTAGAATACCAGGCTGATAAAAAAAAAAAAAAAGGCTATAACAATAGAGTAGTGACCAAAGAAAAGTCAGCCGTTTGAGAGGATTAGGGGACAGAAGTCTGCATGAGAATTTACTTCAGGTTTTTAGCCAACATCTGAGCCATGCTTGTAAGGAATGAGATTCCACATAACAGAGACTGCATGCAATAGAACGAAGTATTAAATGGAAATACTAGATACCCTGCAGTGCTGAGAGATGTTGCAGTACCAGGATAAAGAGACCTCATTGAGCACCTCAGGCATTCAGGTGACACCTGAAGAGGGGGATCTTTAAGAGTCAGAACAGTGACCCACTAAAAGAACCAAACCTTAGGATTAAACTCAAAACCAAAATAGGCCTGTGCTAAAAAAAAAAAAAGACCAAAACCAAGCTTGATAAAAACAAGAGTATTTGCCATTTGTCTCTCTGAGAGAAAAAATTAAAAACAAAAAACAAAACAAAAAAAAAGAAAAACACAGCCTCATGTTTTCAGGGAAGATGTCATAATTCAGATACTTTACAATACCTCACCCAAAATGTCCAGCATGAAATTAAAAATTACCACACATGCAAAGAAGTAGTAAAATGAGACTGAGAAATAAGCAGTCCATAGAAATAGACCCCAAGATGAGTCAGCTGTTGGAACTGACAGACAAGAATTTTTAAAAAGTTATGAAAATATGTTCAATGAACTGAAAGTAAAAATGGACATAATGAGTAAAGAATGAGAATCCCAACAAACAAACAGAAACTATAGTAAGAACTAAATGGAAATTTACATAGATTAATAAAATATCTGAAATAAAAAAATGTGTTGATTTACTTTAACATCAAATTGTAGAATGCTAAAGAAATTGTTAGTGAACTTGAAGGAAAATCAATAGAAATTGCCTCATATAAAGAACAGAATAAAAAAGATATTTTAAAAAATTAACCAATGCTCCAGTAACCTACTTTCAGAGATAGTAACAAGCAGTCTAACATACATGTAACTGAAGTCTCAGAGAGAGGAAAGAGAAAATGGAACATAGAAAATAATTCTTGGAAATTTCCCAAATTTGGTTAGAAAGAAAGAAAGACCTAGTGAGTCTCAGCTAGAATAAATATAAAGAAAACCACATCTAGAAACATCATAATTAAGCTTTTGAAAATCCAAGATGAAGAGAAAGTACTAAAGGCAGTCAAAGAGAAAGAACACATTACATAGTGTAACAATGATACATATAACAGGTGGCTTTTATTCAGAAACTATGGATGCCAAAATACAATGAAGCAACAACAGATAGTAAAGTAGGCAATTTGGAAACTTCTATGAACATACAAATTTTGGGGTGTCATTGTCCACATTTTGGAGGTTAATTA